TGTGTATATGTGAGTGTGTGTGTATGAGTGTGTCTATATATGTGTGTGTGTCTGAGTGTGCATGTGTATGTAGGTATATGAGTGTGTATGTGTGTGTATATGAGAATGTGTGTATTTGAGTGTGTGTGCGTATGTGAGTGTGTGTAGGGTGTGTGTGTGTATATGTGAGAGTGGGTGTGTATGTGTGTGTGTCTGTATATGTGAGTGTGTGCACGCATGCAATGTGTATGTATATGTACAGTTCTCCTCCAGGTCACTAGTTCAAGCGGGGACACTCCTCTAATCTGTCTCCAAAGAGCAACTCAAGTGCCTCATGTGGTCCCCAGGGCGTCTAACTGGGTCTGCTTTGTGCTTTGATCCCCTCTTCAACTCCTGCTGTCCAGAAGCTTCCTGCACTCCCTCACCCACTCCTTCATCAATCTCTGCCCTGTCCAGGGTCTATAGGGACACTTCAAATTGTGGTTGGTTTGTAGGGGGGCTTCAGCAATAGACATTGGGTCATTGGGGTGGTTAGCAGGACTCCCTCTACTCCGAGTTTGCACTGACTTTTAAAAATTATTATTACTACTATTACTATTACTCTTACTGAGATATTGGGGTATCCCTATGTTGCCCAGGCTGGTCTTGAGCTCCTGAGCTTAAGGGGTCCTCCTGCCTCAGTCTCCTGAGTAGCTGGGACTACAGGCATGCACCCCACACCCCGATGCACCGACTTTTGCAAGCTCTTCTCCACTTTGGCAATGGGCCACCTGTTACTGGTCCCTCACGTGGTGCCCATATCAAAGCCCTTGGCACTTCAGTGGAGGCACTGGAGGGAGAGGAGGAAAAGAGAAGTGGGTGGCACAGATAGATGTGGGCAAGGTGCCAGTAAAGAGTGTGTGGGCAGCGAGAAGAGGACATGCTGTCTGTAACAGATACCTGGAGCTCCAGAAGCCCTGGGGTGGATCCTGCCTTCTGCAGGAGAACCTGAGGTCAGCCAAGACACATCAGACAGCCAGAGATAAGGACTAACCACCCACAGCCTGCTGGCACCTAGCTAGAGCCTGCCTAGACCTACTCCCAGAATGGAACTGCATTTATGGAACACCTTCTGTGTGCCTGGCACGTGGCAGCCCCTCTACCTCCATCCTCTCCCAAAGTTGTTATCCCCATTATACAAATGAGGAAATTGAGGCTTGGAAAGGTTATTTAACTGGCCTAAGACACACATACGATGGGGTTGAGCCAGGATTTCAACACAAAATTGCCTGGTTCCAGAACTTCCCACCCCAATAGGGAAGTGGCCAGACTAAAATCAAGAGGCAAGGCAAAGTGTAATTGTTGGGCCAGGTGGAGGAACAGATGCTGCTTCCAAGAGAGGTTCTGGGGCTCTGCTCTCTAGAAAGGCAATCTGACATGAATGCGGGCCAGGCTGGTGGTAGTGGTAGTGGTAGTGGTAGTGGTGGAGGGGGCTTCAATTTCTGTCTTGAGGTTGCGTGATGAGCAAGAGGCCAGGAAATTTGGTCCTTCCCGGAGGCCTCGGTTTAGTCCTGGTGGGAAGGCAAAGCTGTCTGGATCCATTCCTGTTTGGATGCCCTGTTGAGGCAGGGACTAGGGAGGGCGGCACAGCTTTTCCTTTAGAACAGTGGTTTCCAAAGTGGGTGTGCACCTAGGGGTGTGCAAGATGGTCCTTTTGGTATGGGAAGACAAAATTGGAATTTCTATTTATAGTTAAAAAATTAATCCTGGCTTGGTGCAGTGACTCACACCTGTAATCCCAACACGTTGGGAGGCTGAAGCAAGTGGATCACTTGAGCCCAGGAGTTTAAGGCCAGCCTGGGCAACATGGCAAGACTCTATCTCTATAAAAAAATTTTAAAAAATTATCCAGGTGTGGTGGCACGCAGCTATGGTCCCAGCTACTCTGGAGGCTGAGGCAGGAGGATCGTTTGAGCCTGGGAGGTCCAGGCTGCAGTGAGCTATGATCACGCTACTGCACTCCAGCCTGGGCAACAAAGTAAGACCGTGTCTCAAAATATATTTATTTATTTATAAATAAATAAAAATCCCTACGTGTGTGATTTCTAATATTCATACTAATTAATTGACTAACAAATATAGTTTATAGACAAATATTTATATAATTTTATGTAGTCCATTAAGGGCTCTACATTTACTTTTTTGTGTGTGTGTGTGTGTGACAGAGTCTGTCGCCCAGGCTGGAGTGCAGTGGCACAATCACGGCTTACTGCAACCTGGGCCTCCCAGGTTCAGGCGATTCTCCTGCCTCAGCCTCCAGAGTAGCTGGAATTACAGGTGCCTGCCACCACACCCGGCTAATTTTTGCATTTTTAGTAGAGACGGTTTCATCATATTGGCCAGGCTGGTCTTGAACTTCTGAACTCACATGATCTGCCTGCCTCGGCCTCCCAAAGTGTTGGGATTACAGGCATGAGCCACGGCACCCCACCCAAATTTTTCTCTTTTCCTTACTGAGAAGTATAGTCCATAAATAAGGTTTCCAGAACTAAGCAGCCGCGAGTCGCAGGTGTGGAGGCGAACCACGGCAGAGGGTAGGTGTAGATAGACTGGGGATAGCTGTTGGTGGCCCCTGCTGGTCATTATAGGAAGTGCAACATCACTCAGTGCAAAGCCTTATCTGCTGAAAATTTGTAACACTCTTGAGTTTTACTTTTCTCTGTGCCTTGACTCCCAAAACTCTAGGCTGAACACCACCATAGAAAAATCTTGATTTTGGGGGAAGGAGAGATACTACCTGCACCCTTTTGACCTCTGAGGCTGAGGCAAGGAGGAAAGCAGAGCTAATTACAGACCCCAGAGAAGGAGGACTCATTCCCCTCTTGAGGTAGTGGGCAGCCCTTAACTGCTAGGGGATGCATTGCCCAACCGCAAACCTGCTTCCCTTCCCAGCTACTCCATTGCCAACCATTAGCACCTCTATTCCTTTGGGGAACAGCTTAGGACACACTGCACCTTTATTATGGCATTCAGCTGTGCTACCAAGAAGCGCTTTTTGTATCTATGTAACACAGCCCTTCCTGACTTCAACCCCAGACTGTGAACTCTAGGAGGTCATGGCCTGTATCTATCTCAGTATCACAGAAAATGGTACCTTGCCTGGCACAGAAGAGGAGCATCTTATTCTGCATCAAGAAATGTTTCTTCTCTTTCTGTAACTGCACAAGGCTGTTGTGAGAATGAAACAATTTGTCAATTGTAAGGTCCTGAACAGATGTGAGAGGCTGGCATTCTGCAAGGCCTTTATTAGAGAGATACTTGTTGACTGACAAATGCAGCAGGGCAGCCGCTAAGAATAATGAGTTGGGCTCCACCTCCCCAGGTGGGCCAGAATCTGAGATCCCAGCCTGTCCTCAGTATCCTAAATAGAATGGAAGGTTTGCTGTGGGTTACTGATTGAGAACTAATTAATATCTTGTAGAGATTCAAATCCTTTCTCTTCCCAAATACAAATAGCTGCGTGATTTCCAGCCCAGAGGTGGACAGGTGAGAGTGGAGGGTAGCCTTTATAATGGAAAGGGGAATTCTTCCTGAATTCAATTAGAAGGATTTTCTAGGCTGGGTGTAGTGGCTCATGCCTACAATCCCAGCACTTTGGGAGGCTGAGGCAGGCAGATCACCTGAGGTCAGGAGTTCGAGACCAGCCTGACCAACATGGAGAAACCCTGTCTCAACTAAAAATACAAAATTAGCCAGGCGTGGTGGCGCATGCCTGTAATCCCAGCTACTTGGGAAGTTGAGGCAGGAGAATCGCTTGAATCCGGGAGGCAGAGTTTGCGGTGAGCTGAGATCGTGCCATTGTACCCCAGCCTGGGCAACAAGAGTGGAACTCTGTCTCAAAAAAAAAAAAAAAGAAAAAAAAGAAAAAAAAAAGAAGGATTTTCTAGCTTGCAGGTAGAGGAGAGAGCTGCAAGCAATGTGCTCCAGGAACCCTCTTTGTTTAGAGACCAAGGCCTGTAATTCCTGTCAAAGCTATCTGGGGTCGATAACTTTCTTCTCTCAGTAAAAGCTGGGGGCACCTAAACAATGTGGTTTTCAGAAGTTTGGCCGCCTCTGTGGCTTTTCCCTATATCCAAACTTATACCCTTGGAATTCAGGGGAGAGCTGAGTCTTGGGACCTAGGGACTAGTTCCCTGCTTTCGGGATAGATTCCCATATTTGAGATTTCCAAGCAAGCTTCCAGGATGTAATCCATTTCTTTTCTTTTTGTTTCTTTTGAGACAGGATCTCACACTGTTGCCCAGGCTGGAGTGCGGTGTTGCAATCTCGGCTCACTGCAGCCTCAGCTTCCCAAGTAGCTGGGACTACAGGCGCGCGCTGCCACGCCCAGCTAATTTTGTTTATTTTATCTTTTGTAGAGATGGGGTTTCACTAGGTTGCTTAGGCTAGCCTCGAACTCCTAGGCTCAACCGATGCTCCCGCCTCGGACTCCCAAAGTGTTGGGATTACAGGAGTGAGCCACCGCGCCCGGCCAAAGATGCAGTTCATTTATGATCTTAGGAATCCAGTTAGCAAGGAAGAGGGATGACTCCCACATCTTGCTGAGGGTAACTGGACGGGGTGGCGGAACGCCGAGGTCGGATAAGTAGCGTAGCTGACCCCAAATGCCAGGCGCACTGCACAGAGCCTCCCGTATTTGGAGGCCCAGTATCTTTTACGAGCAGATCTGGGGTGGAGCCGGAGGCTGGGCGAAGGCGGGCCAGTGGGTTTAACCCTTTATTTACTTCTTGGGGCTGGGATTCTGAGGAAGGCTAGCCAGTTACTTCTTTATTCCATAGACAGGGAAATAGAACAGGCCTCCCTCACCCAGACCTAAAATAGGCTCTCGAATCCTTTCACGAAGACATTTCCTCTTTTTTGCAAATTTTCTGGAAAGTCTGGAATCCAGATACCCACCCTCCGAGTCCTTAAAAAGCTGTCCCTGATCCCGAGGCCTTCTGGGGCTGGTATCCTGCTTCCTGGGAGATAGTCTTCCTGTTCCTTTTCTCAATATGGAAGCAGGATAACCAGGAAAGGTGAGGCACGTCTGGAACTAGAACGCGGGTCTAAGCCAAGAGGGGTGGGCGGAGTAATCAAGCCGGTCTCATTCGGCACTTTAACCATCGCCCTTTTAAGGGGGAGCCGAGGGACACCAGCGGGTACCGGTACCAGTCCTGCCTCCCTAACCCGTCCCAGTGGGACGGCGTCGTGGTCTGTGCGGTGTCTTCCAAACCACTACCTGGCTGCCCGCGTACCAGCTGCTGGGAAAGACTACTTCCTCCGAGTTGTGCCGGCCTCCGCGTTCTTCTCCCGTCCCCTCTCGCCGGGCCTCCGCCCCCTCGCGGAGAAGCCTTGCCGCTTTAAGAGCCGGGCTAGCGATTGACAAGCAATAAACGGTGAGCGCCCGGCTGCGCTGGAGCTGCGCGGAGCTAGGGGCTCCCCGGGGCGCAGGTAGGCGTCCCCCGGCCCCCTGGCCACCACCCACCCCAAGACCTCAGCCTCCTTTTCGTCCTGGCACGGCACTTAGGACCCTATTCACTGGGTTTAAACTCCACAGGCCCCTTTCACCCAGGCCCGTTCCCTCCCTCTCCACCCGCCCCCGCCCCTGGGCCCTCTTTCTGGGGTGCTAGTTGGGAGAACCAAGGCCCGCTGCCCATTGACATTGGTCCGCGCCCCTGCGGTAGGGGCTCCAAAGTGGCTTCAGGCACCAAGGTGGTGAGCTGTGAGGGGCCCGGGTATCCGCGCGGCCTCCCCGGGGTCTGTGCGGGCTGGGGGGACTTGGAAGCCCGGCATTACGTAAGAACCGTGCTGTTAGCGCTTCCGGGGGTTGGGGAGAGAAACAGAGGTTGCTCTTTGTCCCGGTGGCCCCCGGTCCCCCTAGGCGGCTAACACCACAATCTTCACTGGGAGGGGGTCCCCAGAAGGGGCGCGCTGCTTCTCCCGCTTCCCAGGCTGTATGTAGCAGGGCGGGTCGGGAGCCAGGGTTAGGGTCTGGAGACTTGGGAGGGGACCAGTGCCAGAAGCGAAGAGCCAGTGTTAGAAAGTTAGGTCAATTAAGCGGGGGGGTGTGTGGGGGGGATAAGGACGGGTTGGGGGTTGGTGGCTGGGGCAGTCATTTAGTGACCTCATCCCTGGTCTCCGGCGGGCGCGCATGCAGAGAGAGCCTTCTTTGATGGCTCGCAACACGCCCCCCTCCCCCAGGTCCTAGCGCCCAGTGTGTTAGGGCTGGGTCCGCTGGGGCAGGAGTGATCCGATTGTCCAAGCGTGCACGTCCGCCTGGCCTTTCGACCCCATCCTCTGACCCTCAGTTCTGTCCAACCCTCCCCGCGACCTCTTGCTCTTCAAAGCGCCTTTGTCAGACCTTTCTTCTTCGCACCTCTTTGTATGTGTACGGATGGAGGGATGGGTGGGAGGTTGGAAGAAACCTCTCCCTTTTACTGCTGGTCCCCTCGCCTACGGACACTTTGGGTGATGGGGATATCTCGGAGGCAGAGCTGAGAGGGCATCTGGGCCCAGGCTTTTGGAAGCCGAGATGCAGGTTCCCAGATGCCTGGGTGCAGGACCTTGGCACGGAGCCAGGCTAGCTTGCCTGGCACTGCCGTTCTCTTGTGGGCACAGCCAGGCCCCGCCCTCTCAGCGGCTTGGACAGGCTTGGGGGAGCAAAGCCAGCCGATGCTGTGGGAACCGACTCCCCGGGAGAAAGCCCAGGCAGGCTGGGCAAGACTTCTGAGCGCAGGGATTTCATACATGATTCTCCCTGCCTTTTCCCACCCTCCTCGCTCTAGGGAAGGAGGACTTCTGGAGTCAAGAGTCTCTGACCTTCTGAGGGAGAGCAGCAGCAGCCAGAAGGCTCCAGGTCATCAAGGCCTGGGGCAGTGAGGGAAGGGATCCCTCCTCCCTGCTCTCTAGAAGTAGAGATTGGCACCAGAGGCACGGGCCAGCACAGTGGATCCTGGGCATTTCTTCCAGCCTGGGTGTGGCCTGAATAGGGGTGCCCTTCCCCTCGCTGAAAGCACCTTTCTTCCATGTCCTCAGGGGCAGAGCCGGGAGGAAAGGGAACCATCCCCCTCACTTTTGTAATTTCTGTCACCTGAGCTCAGGTGACCAGCTCAGGCCTGAGAGGGGAATGGGAGCAGAGAGGGTTTTATTGAAATCAGGTACGAGTCCTCTGGGAAGAATCCTCTTTGGGGGCAGGTGGAGTTGCTGTGGTTCCCACATCCCCAGGACTCAGCAGGCATTCAGTCCTAAAGTGGGCACTGCCAGATGCTTCCCCCCACTCCCCACCCCTGCTGTGAGCCACTGCCTCCTGTTGTCATGGCAACTAGGAATTAGGGTTTTATCCAGCAGCACATGCCCAGGAAGGCAAAGGGAAGAAGGGTGGGGGGTAACCCCCTGCCCTCTCCTGGGAGAACGAGGGAGCCCATCCTAGCCTGGGGAGGCCCTGGAATGGAAACTGGGGCTGTAGACTCCATGCCTGGTTCTGCCCAGAGCACTTGGTCTCCTTGTGCCAGCTCTGAGCTAAGAAAGGGAGAGAGGAGAGAGAGCCAGCCAGAGGGGCCATGGAGAGGTACATGTAACTTCTGTCAGCCCCCCAGATAAATGTGAAACATCGACGCTTTGGTAGGCCTAGGTTCCAGAAGCAAATAAAATCAATGTGGTTCTGGCTCTCAGGGAACCTACAGTCTGGGAGTACTCGTGTTTTCTACTTTGACTCAAATTCTGGACTCTTCCATTATTTTTTTAAAAGACAAGTTCTTGCTCTGTTGCCCAGGCTGGAGTACAGTGGTGCAATCATGGTTCACCACAGCCTCGACCTCCTGGGCTCAAGAGATCCCCCTGCCTCAGTCCCACAAGTAGCTGGGATCATAGGCACGCACTGCCACACCTGGATAATTTTTAAATTTTTTGTAGAGATGGTGGTCTTGCCATGTTGCCCAGGTGGGTCTCAAACTCCTGGGCTCAGGTGATTCTCGTGCCTCAGCCTCCTAAAGTGCTGGGATTATAGGCGTGAGCCACCTTGCTCAGCCAAATTATGTTCTTACCCTCTAAAAATTCTACTTGTTCCTTCTTCAAACAAACAAACAAAAAAGACAGCAGGAAGAAACACTTTATTTATATACTTATTTTTGAGTCATAAAACCTGGATTTTCATTCTAGCTCTCCTTATTAGCTTTGTGATCTTGGGAAAATCAGTTAACCTCCTTCATCCTCCATGGTCTCCTCCTCCTCAGAGAAATAGGCTTGTAATACCTGCTCTTCCTGCTTCCCAGGACTGTTGGAATCATTGTTGTTCTCCAACCCCCACTTTCTGGGCAGCACCTTCTCCCCTACCTTGCTGACTGGTCCTGAAGGGGAGGCTCTTCCTATTCCCTTCCCCATTGCTTTGCCCTTGTATCCACTCATCCTCCTCTCTCCCCTCTCCAGGAGAGACGTTTCAGAGTCCTTGCCTCCTTCACCATGCCGGTTGCCGCCACCAACTCTGAGTCTGGTAAGAAGTGGGTGAGGATGTTAGCTTATTTCAGTGGTTCAGAGGGTGCCAGGCGAGGACTTAGGGGTGGGCACTTGCACAGGTCCAGATAAGGACCAACTGGCTCCACTGCTCTTCCATCCTACCACTCAGCCATTCCTTCTGGCAGCTGCTGTGGCCATCTCCTCTGTGTGGGTTCCTGTGCTGGAACGGAGAAGAGAAGGAATAAGACCTGTACCTGCTCCCCTGCTCCAGTGTAGGGCTGGGGCACAACTCACTTCTGTGGAGGGCAGGGGATGCATGCTCCAGAGGTGACCCGTACTATTGCTGGAGGGCAGTGGCATGGGACCAGGGCTTCAGGAGGTGGCCTGGGAGCTGGGCCTTGGAGAATGGCTTGGGGATGGAGGGATTACAGCAATACAGCCTGGGACTGAGAAGTCCATAATCACTGCCCACTAGGCCAGCATGTGCCACAGGTGGACAGGTGGTACTGGGGGCCAGGAAGCTCTGAGTGAAGGAACGAGAATACCAGGTCAGGATACCTGGGCGTGGCTCTGTAGGAGGCATTAGGACAAGGGAATGGGCCACTCAGATAAACTAGCAAAGCCTCAGTAGCAAACTGCTTAACCTCTTGGAGCTCACATTTCCTCTTCTATGAAGAGGCTGCTGTGAGACGCAAAGGCTGTGATGGGAGAGCACATTACTTTTAGGAATAGTCATACTTATTATACTGCTGTTGCTGCCACTGCCACCAAGTTGTTATTGTTGTTTTTAAGACAAGGTCTGGGCCGGGCGCGGTGGCTCAAGCCTGTAATCCCAGCACTTTGGGAGGCCGAGACGGGCGGATCACAAGGTCAGGAGATCGAGACCATCCTGGCTAACACGGTGAAACCCCATCTCTACTGAAAAAATACAAAAAACTAGCCGGGTGAGGTGGCGGGCGCCTGTAGTCCCAGCTACTCGGGAGGCTGAGGCAGGAGAATGGCGTAAACCCGGGAGGCGGAGCTTGTAGTGAGCCGAGATCCGGCCACTGCACTCCAGCCTGGGCGACAGAGCGAGACTCCGTCTCAAAAAAAAAAAAAAAAAAAAAAGACAAGGTCTGGCTCTTTAGCTTAGGCTGGAGTGCAGTGGTGCCAGCTTGGCTCACTGCAACCTCTACCTACCAGCCTCAAGCCATTCTTCTACCTCAGCCTCCCGAGTAGCTGGGACTATACGTGCGCACCACCCTGCTGAGCTAATTTTTGTATTTTTTGTAAAGACAAAAATGTTGCCCAGGCTGGTCTCAAACTCCTGAGCTCAAGTGCTCCACCTGCCTCAACCTCCCAAAGTACTGGGAATTCAGGTGTGAGCCACTGTGCCTGGCCTGAGTTGTTATTTTGGCATTAACCCTGTGTCCTTGAAACAGTCACCTCTCTTTGAAGACCTGAGAATTCCCTAAGATGAGATGATGGGACAAGATCAGTGTTCTTAACTTTTTTTTTTTTTTTTTTTTTTGAGACAGAGTCTTGCTCTGTTGCTCAGGCTGGAGGGCAGTGGTGGGATCTTGGCTCACTGCAACCTTCGCATCCCAGGTTCAAGTGATTCTCCTCCCTCAGCCTCCCGAGTAGCTGGGATTACAGGCACCCATCATAATGCCCAGCTGATTTTTGTATTTTTGTAGAGATGGGGTTTTACCATGTTGGCTAGGCTGTCTCAATCCCCTGACCTCAGGTGATCCACCCACCTTGGCCTCCCAAAGTGCTGGGATTACAGGTGTGAGCCACCGCACCTGGCCTGTTCTTAACTTTTATTGGTCCTGAGTCACTTAGAATCTGGTGACAGCAGTGAGCCCTCATTGTAGACATATGCATCCATGCACAAAAGGTACATGCCACTCTAAGAGCTCATGGATTCCTGTAGTGCACGCAGGACCCCAGAAGGTTGAGTTCCCTGTGATAGAGGCTCTCTGAGTCCTGGGCAGCTGGGAATTGCTATGGTTCTGCTCTTGAGTTGTCTGAACTTCCCCCTGCCTGGATGCCTCCCTCCCATGCAGCTCCTTCCCTTGCTCGAGGCCCCGCTACTGCCTCTGCTAGAGGTTCCAGGGCTGCCACTTTGGGTAGAATGATTCCTGTGTCCCTCCTCTCCAAGAACGTGAAAGGAGTGAGCCAGGGTCTAAACTGTGGCACACTTGTCCAGGAAAGGCCTCTTCTCCTTGCAGTGGAGGGATGGCACCAATGTCTCCAGCTTCTGCAGCATTGGAGGGCTCAGTTCCCCATCTCCTGTCCAGCCTGCTGGGCTCCCTGGGGTCTCCCCGCCTCTTTCAGCCTGCCTAGGCCCCACTGTAAGCTGCTTAGGGGTTAATTAAACCCACCCCTGAGCCCGTGCTTAATGGCCTGTCCATCGGGGCTGCCTAGTAAACCCATCAATGGTGCCTGACTGGGGTGTAGGAGGAGGAGCAAGCCCAGCAATTTGGCTTCCTTGTTGCAGACCACTTGATGGGGGCGTGGTGGGGAGGATGGGGGACAGGGAGTGGAGCCTTGGGGTGTGGCAGTGGGTTTTGCTTCTTCAAAGGACTCCTGGGGCTCCTGCTCCCCTTCATGTTGTTCGAGGGGCTGCTTCTGGCTTCTCATATTCAAAGGAAGAAGTACAAAGTATTTCTCTTCCTTCAGGCAGCCTCTGTCCTATCCCGAGCTACATTAGCTCCCAGCTTCAAAAATCTAATGCTGGGTTCTTCCCCTTATTATCTGGTGGTCATTATACTTCCCACAGGACAGAGAGACAGCTGTGTCCCTGCCTCTGAGTTCAGGCTCCCCTTCCCTCCTTCCCTGGGAGATCCCTGTCTTGGACTCTGTGAAGGGCAAAGCTAACAAGGTCCTTTTTCCGCCCTTCTCCATGGGTCAGTGTGGTTGTTGGAAGGGAGGGAAAAGGTATAGGTGTATTCTTCTTGCAGAGAGACCCCATATCTACTTTGGGTAAAGTCAGGGGCCCTTTTCCTGAGAGTTGGGAGATAAATGGGCAATGGCACTGGGCTGAGAGCTTAGAGATCCTGAACCTGGCATCTCCTGATCTGCAGCCTTGCTCCCTCTTCCGCTGTCACCAGATTCCCTTCCTTCTTTGGATCAAGACTGGGATCTGTGGCTGCTTTCAGGTGGAGCTGTCCCTTTAAATCTCTCCTCCATCCCTAGGTTACTGTCCTGGTGTGTAATTCTGCTGCCATGGAAACCCCAGGGGTGCAATGCGACCTGGTGTCACTCCTTGGGGAATGGCTGAATGGAGGCTGCCATACCCTGGTGGTGGCCTCTTGGGCACAAGATCTCAGAGGAATGGGGTCACCGGGGTGGAGCTGAATCCCTCCCTTCTGCCCACACTTTTCCCTGTGTGCAAATGTGTCCTCACTTTTCCTTTCTGGGGCACTGAGTTCCAAGATGCCTGACTTGCTTCCTGGGCATCACCCCCTACATCAAGGGGAAGAACTCATGGGAGATGGGGGAGGGGAAGAAGCTGCTGTGAGGCGAGGGGTAAGCAGGGCTGGGGCACCGTCCCTACCCACAGCGATGTCACCCCCCGCCCCCTGTATCCTGCCTCCCAGTGGCTGGCCGCGGGCTGGTGGGGGGAGGCGTTTGGGGCTTGAGGTATTTGCCCCATGCCCGAGTGAGGCTGCCTCCCGGTGGAGGGCTGAGTCGTTCTTGGGGACTTCCTTCGATTGAGGGACCATTGTAAAGGAAGCAGGGCCTGGAGAGGGGACTGAGAGCAGAGGTCAGAGGGCATAGGCAGGAGGTGGTATGGGGTGTATCAGAGGAGGGACTTCTAGAAAAGAGGGTGCAGGGACAAGATGGGTCAAGACTTTTCTCCCTCGGGTCTCCTGAAGCTGGCTGTGAGGGGAGGGTCTCGGGGTACCGCGCCAGTCTTGAAGGTGCAGCATGCCTACCCCCTCCCCAAAACCTCCTGTTAGACGCCTCCTCCCCATCCCCACCGACACTGACATGCTGGGGATCGGGCCATCTGTGGGACTAGGGCTCCCTCCCCACCACCTTTCTCCCACCCGGGTTGCCGCCTGCTCTGCATCGCGCAGCGCCAGTCGGGGGCTTTAGCCAATCAGCAAGGCGATCACGGCAGCTGAGCCTTGCTATTGGCTGGTTCCTCAGAGGGTGCTCCCCGACTCCCGCCTTCTGTAGCCCCGCCAGGCTCTGGCTCGGGAGGCGGCAGACGGCGGTGTGGAGGATACTCCGGGAGTCCCCGGGGCTGGGGGCTGCCATGGCAGGCAGCCCAGGCAGCGGGGTCTCCTTGGAGGGTATATCCCTGGGCTCTTCTGAGGAAGCGGAGCTCCAGAGGGAAGGTAGGGAAGGGTGGGCCAGATGGGGGCGGGGCAGCTGGCCCCTTAGCCTACCTTCCTCCAGCAGAGTCGGGGCATCTGGGGAGGGTGGCCTGGGAGAGGTCATCTGAGGGCACCTTCAGGAGAGCTGTCCTGGGCAGAGGGCACCAACTCCCTTGGCTCAGTCCTCCCCTGGATAACTGACAGAGGGAATCTGGCATACCCTGGCAGGGAGGGAAGGGTCCCTGCCCTGGCCTCTTTCAGAGCCCACTGGGGGCTTCGCAGGTCTCTGACCAATGCCAAGCCCTGGCCTGGGCAAGAGGGGTCTGAAGGGCAAGCTTGGACTTTTTTTCTGGAGAAGGCAGGGAGCAGGAGGAGGAAGGAGATGGGAGTCCAGGAGTCCCTGAACCATCTCTGACAGCTCCAGTTCTAGTGCCCCCTCCTCTCCACTCCTGTTCCTTCCTGGAGGAGGGGAGCGCTGACAGGAGCATTGAGAGGCGCCAGGGGTGCATCCTCCCCCGTCCTCCATGGCTTGGGTTCTGTTATGCAGATGTACGCATAGGTGGCATGGTGGCAGAGTAATGATACCCCCTGCCCATCTCTGCCCCCAGCTGGGCACATTCTGCTTCTCACTTCCTTTCCCGGGAACTTGCCACAGCCTGGAACTCCCACCTCTGCCAGTGAGTGAGGGCAGCCTCCACCTCCGATCTCCGGGGCGTTGTTGCGGCCCAGCTGCAGGTGTTATCATGTCCTCTGTTATGCCCCATTCCGGGCTGAGAGTTTGCTTATCCCTGTGATGACTTGGTGTGACCTTGGCCTTTGGGTGCCCACAGTCATTCCAGGCCTCCAGTGCCTGTTTCCCTAGCTCCTGCCAGCGTTCCAGGCTTCAGCTCTGACTTCCTATCATCCATGTTAATTTCTCAGTTATAGATTATTGCCACTCAGAGCTGAAGGGCCTGTAGTCATCATCTCGCCCAACCCATCCATTTTACAAGCAGGAAAGACTGAGGCCAGTGAGGGACAGTGACTTGTACAATGTCACACTGAATTAGTGATGCTTAGACTGGAGGCTCTGCAGGCCCTGGCTCCTGTGTGGCTGCCCGCTTGACTTTGGGCCTGTACTCAGGGACTTGCTCCAAGTACTGTCTGTCTCATCCTTAAGCCTGCCAGGTGCAGGTGGCTGAGTCCTGGGCTTCAGCCCATCTGGAGATTGAGTGAGGAACTTCTGGTTTTCTTTCCTTTTTCTTTTTTTTTTTTGTTTTTTAAGACAGTCTTATTTTTTAATTTTTATTTTATTTATTTGTTTGTTTTTCGAGACAGAGTCGCACTCTGTCGCCCAGGCTGGAGTGCAATGGTGCAATCTTGGCTCACTGCAAGCTCCGCCTCCCAGGTTCACGCCATTCTCCTGCCTCAGCTTCCTGAGTAGCTGGGACTACAGGCGCCCACCACCATGCCCGGCTAATTTTTTTGTATTTTTAGTAGAGACGGGGTTTCACTGTGTTGGTCCAGATGGTCTCGATCTCCTGACCTCGTGATCCACCTACCTTGGTGTCCCAAAGTTCTGGGATTATAGGCGTGAGCCACTGCTCCCAGCCAGAGACAGTCTTGCTCTGCCACCCAGGTTGGAGTGCAGTGGCGTGATCTCAGCTCACTGCAATCTCTGCCTCAGCCTCCTGAGTAGCTAGAATTACAGACCTACACCACTATGCCTGGCTAATTTTGGTATTTTTAATAGAGATGGGGTTTTGCCTTGTTGCCCAGGCTGGTCTCGAACTCCTGGCCTCAGGTGATCCACCCAACAGCTTGTGGTTTTCTGGTGCAGGGCAGGACCTGGAACCTGACACCTGCTTCCCTTTCTCCCTTCCCCCCACCTCAGAGTCCCTTCCAGCTGCCTGGAGCCTCCCACCTACTCAGGCTGGTGTTACCTAGGGTGGAGAGAACAGGCCAAGGAAACTGTCCCCTTCCTCAAGGACCCCTGTCCCAGGCATTCAAGGGCCTGGGGTGCCTGTGCTGGGCAGGGAGGGGAATGTTGTCGGGGAGGGGCTGTCTTCTGTGGGACATGGGGGTGGGGGAGTGGCAGGTATTGTGGTGTGTTTTAGTCTACTGTACCCAGCTGATACCTGTGTATCTCACTGCCCATACCTTCCCCCAGCCATGCAGCAAGTCCTGGACAACTTGGGATCCCTCCCGAATGCCACGGGGGCTGCAGAGCTGGACCTGATCTTCCTTCGAGGCATTATGGAAAGTCCCATAGTAAGATCCCTGGCCAAGGTACAGTGCTCCAGGGAGGTGGGCACAAGGGCACTGTGCCTGGGGAGGCACAGTAGGGGATGGGGTATTAGCTACAGAGGGCCCTGGGAATGGGGCATGTGGCACAAGAGGCCCCCCTGAAGGGGACTGTAGAAGAAAATCATGCCCAGGTGGTGACCTGAGTGGCTGCAGGTAGACGGGGCTGCCCTGGCACCTGTCTGGTGAGTGCGTGGGTGGATGTTTGGTGACCGCCAGCTTGTGGAGTGTATGATTGGTGTGGGCCAGCATGCACATGTTGGAGAACCTCTAGAATTCATCTTGCTTGTCCTTCTGCCTTTGGGCATTTTGTGTGCATGTCTTTCTAAGGTCACCTGCTATGTGTCAGGTTGGGGAGAGATTCACTGAAAGAGAAAATTATAGGACAATTTGGTAATGACAGTGATAGAGGTGGATACACTAGGCATTTTGGGAGCATAAAGTACAGATGCCTAACCCAGCCTGGGGTGGGCAAGGAGGCCTTCCTGGAGGAAGGAACACTTGAGCTGAGTGGAAGAATGAGGAAGAGGGGGAGGGCATTCTGGGCCACAGAAGAGCTTGAGCAGAAGCACAGAGGTAAGAAAAAGTCAGGAGTGTGCAGGGGATTGGAAGTGCTGGTGCGAGGCTGAGCCTCAAGCGTGAGACAATGCGAGCTGTGCAAAGGTTGGGGGCTGTGTGTGGGTGCTTGGGCATCCTTCTATGAGTGTCGTGAGTATCAGGGAGGCTTTACGTGTGTGTGTTTTTGTTTTTTTTTGTTTTTTTTTGAGACAGAATTTTGCTCTTGTTGCACAGGCTGGAGTACAATGGCATGGTCTTGACTCACTGCAACCTCCATCTCCTGAGTTCAAGTGATTCTTCTGCCTCAGCCTCCCGAGTAGCTGGGATTACAGGCATGCGCCACCATGCCCAGCTAATTTTGTAGTTTTAGTAGAGACGGGGTTTCTCCATGTTAGTCAGGCTGGTCTTGAATTCCTGACCTCAGGTGATCTGCCTGCCTCGGCCTCCCAAAGTGCTGGGATTACAGGCGTGAGCCACCGCGCTTGGCAGGCTTTACGGTATTTAAGCAGGGATGTGATGGCCAAATGTGGGTGTTTTAGGCACCCACATGGAGAACTGTTGGGGAGTCATATCTGGAGTTGGAGAAGCCAGTTAGTGGCTCTTTAGTGGGTTAAGTATAAGATGCTGAGAGCCTGAACTGGAGCTGTGGTCCCAGACCTTAGGGTAAACTGGTGGAACTTGGTGTTTGGCAGTGAGGGCTAGGGGACAGCAAGGCACCTGGGATCCTGCCCCAGGGAGTGTGGAAGGATGCCCCCTCTCCTGAGGAGGGGAGGTGGGGATGGTGCCCATGGCTGCATTGGAGGCAAGGCTGGGAGCTGTGGGAAATCAGACCTAATTTCTCGGATTTCTTGGTAAAGGTGGAGCAGTCCTCTCCTGCGAATTAAGGATCAGAGATGGAGCAGGAAGATTCAGAAGGGAAGGTCTGACTGGTCACTGAAGGGGAGAAGGAATTAAATGGATGGGGACCTCGACTGTCCATGTCAGGTGCCCGATTTCCCAGGGTGGGGGTAACTCCATCCAGGGAGGAAGGGAAAGGACAGGGGGCTTTCGTCCAGGGCATGTGCTGGCCTGGGGCTGTGGAAGTCGGATGCAAGGAATTGTGAAGGGAGCTGGTGAGAGAGGCTCAGAGAAAAGAGGCCCAGGCTGGAAAGAGGTAGAACAGAGAGAAAACGGAGGTGAAGGCTCGGTGGCTCTCTGAGGTCACAGAGTATTTAAGGGGTAATGGTGGGGATATAGATGGAAGAGAAAAAGACTAAGGTCAGAGGAAGAGAGGTAGTAGGTGAAAGTTTTCCAAGGAGGACAGCTCTAGGGATGCCATGATAATGTAGGGCGGGGCTGCAGTGGACAGGTAGGTCATCAGTGTTGAAGACGTCCATAAATGGAAGGCTCAGGAGTGGGATGGGCTTGTCCACACAGCCATTGACATGTAGGGCTATGGCAGGCATCAGGGTAGGGAGAAGACTGAGGCAGTCCGCAGGGTTTTCAGTGCATGGTGGTGGAGGTGACCAGGAAGTCAGCAATAACAGCAAGGGTGGGGAGAAAGAAGGTACAGCCAGGTGGTGGGTTTTCTATAGAGTGGGGACTCTGTCACAGGCTGGCTGGACACATCCCACTGGAGTGGGGATTGCTGCAGGGGACACCGTGTCCCTAGGACGTAGCCTATTCACGTTATCTGTGGAGTGGTTGAAGATTTGGGAAGATTGTTAACAGCGAAAGATAAGTTGCAGATGTTTAGTAGTAGGAAGTTCTGGGGAAGAGAAAACTGAGCAGATTGGAGGAGATTGGAGAAAGGCAGGGTGCTTTTCATTCAGCAAATGAAGATCCTACTCATTTACTAAAAATAAAGACAAGAAGCTGGGAGTAGGGGCAGGCACCTATAGTCCCAGCTACTCTGGAGGCTAAGGTGAGAGCATTGCGTGAGGCCAAGAAGCTCAAGTGCAGTTTGTGTAACATAGTGAGAGCTTGTCTTCAATAAATAAGTAAATAAATAAAAACAGGCCGGGCACGGTGGCTCAAGCCTGTAATCCCATCACTTTGGGAGGCTGAGATGGGCGGATCACGAGGTCAGGAGATCGAGACCATCCTGGCTAACACGGTGAAACCCCGTCTCTACTTAAAAAAAAAATACAAAAAACTAGCTGGGCGAGGTGGCGGGCGCCCCTAGTCCCAGCTACTCTGAAGGCTGAGGCAGGAGAATGGCGTAAACCTGGGAGGCGGAGCTTGCAGTGAGCTGAAATCTAGCCACTGCACTCCAGCCTGGGCGACAGAGCAAGACTCTGTCTCAAAAAAAAAAAAAAAAAAAAAAAAAAAAAAAATTAAATAAATAAATAAACAAATAAAAACAAGGAATTAGGCCGGGCGCGGTGGCTCAAGCCTGTAATCCCAGCACTTTGGGAGGCCAAGACGGGCGGATCACGAGGTCAGGAGATCGAGGCCATCCTGGCTAACACGGTGAAACCCCATCTCTACTAAAAAATACAAAAAACTAGCCGGGCGAGGTGGCGGGCGCCTGTAGTCCCGGCTACTCGGGAGGCTGAGGCAGGAGAATGGCATAAACCTGGGAGGTGGAGCTTGCAGTGAGCTGAGATCCGGCCACTGCACTCCAGCCTGGGCGACAGAGCGAGACTCCGTCTCAAAAAAAAAAACAAAAAACAAGGAATTATACACATTTCAAACATAGAGACGTTCCATGAAGGCAGGAATGTTTGTTTCTTTGATTCACTGCTGTATCCCCAGAGCCTACAAAATGCCTGACACGTAGTAGGTGCTCACTGAGTATTTGTTGAATGAATAAATACAACAGAGTATAAAAAATAACATAATAAACTCCTGAGTACCCATCTCCAAAATGTTAATAATGTTTGTTTTGACTCTTGCCATTTCTTAAGAAATAAAAAGTATGAGGCGCACGGCACGGTGTGGCTTACAGCTTTAGTCCCAGCACTTTGGAAGACCGTGGTTGGTGGATCACTTGAGCTCAGGAATTCAAGACTAGCCTGATCAACATGGTGAAACCTTGTCTCTATAAAAAAAAATAAAATTAGCCAAGCATGGTAGCATTCACCTGTAGTCCCAACTACTCAAGAGGCTGAGCGGGGACAATTGCTTGAGCTGGGTAGGTTGAGGCTGCAGTGAGCCATGATCATGCCACTGCACTCCAGCCTGAGTGACAGAGTGAGACACTGTCTCAAAAAAAAAAAAAAAAGAAAGAAAAAGTTTGACACAGTTAATGCCTCTCCCCTTCTTCATTTTCACTGCATTCCCTTCCCACAGGTAACCACTGGCTAGAGATTGATGTCATTTCACTGAATGTTGGCTTATCTTGCCTGCATATGTGTTTAGCTGTAAACAATATACCTTGGTGTGATTTTTTTTTTTTTTAAGACAAGGTCTTATTCCGTCTCCCAGGTTGGAGTACAGTGGACCCCTGTTCTATAGTGAAACAATTATAGCTTACTGCAGCCTGGAACTCCTGGGCTCAAATGATGCTCCTGCCTTAGCCTCCTGAGTAACTGGGACTACAAATATGTACCACCATGCCTGGCTAATTTTTAAATTTTTTTGTAGAGGCAGAGTCTTGCTGTGTTGTCCAGGCTAGTCTCAAACTCCTGGCCTCAAGTGATCCTCCCAGCCTCTCAAAGCACTGGGATTATAGGCATGAGCCACCATGCCTGGTTCTACCTTTGTTAGGTGTGCTTTTTTTTTTTTTTTTCCTGGAGTCTCACTCTGTCGCCCAGGCTAGAGTGCAGTGGTGCAATCTCGGCTCACTACAACCTCTGCCTCCCAGGTTCAAGCGATTCTTCTGCCTCAGCCTTCCAAGTAGCTGGGACTACAGGCACGTGCCACCATGCTTGGCTAATTTTTTTTTTTTTTTTGAGACAGAGTCTCACGCTGTCACCAGGCTGGAGTACAGTGGCACGATCGCGGCTCACTGCAACTTCTACCTCCTGGGTTCAAGTGATTCTCCTGCCTCAGCCTCCCGAGTAGCTAGGACTACAGGCACGTGCTACCACGCCCAGTTAATTTTTGTATTTTTAGTAGAGATGGGGTTTTACCATGTTGGCCAGGATGGTCTTGATCTTTTGACCTCGCGATCTGCCTGCCTCGGCCTCCCAAAGTGCTGGGATTTTAGGCGTGAGCCACCGTACCCGGCCATTTTTTATTTCTTTTTAGTAGAGACAGGGTTTCACCATATTGGCCAGGCTAGTCTAGAACTCCTGACCTCATAATTCTCCTGCCTCAGTCTCCCAAAGTCCTGGGATTACAGGTGTGATCCACCATGCCCGGCCATTACGTGTGCTTTAAAAATTTATATAAATGAAATGATAGTGTAAGGTGCTTCTGTTTTTGAGATTTCTATTTCATATAAGTAGTACAGCTGTCGACCTAAGTATAGATAGAGATAGGGAGATTCATTTGAATTGTTG